CTTTCTGGAAAAAAAAATTTGGAAGTTCAGGGCAGTCCTGCTGAAGTTCAGGGAATCCTGTCGACATTCTGGGAAGTACTGTTGAAGTTCAGGGAAGTAATGTCGACATTTTGGGAGGAACTGTTGAAGTTCAAGGCAGACCTGCTGAACTTCACGGAAGTCCAGTCGACATTCTGCGAAGTACTTCTGAAGTTCACGGAAGTCTTGTCGACATTCTGGGAAGTACTGTTGAAGTTCAGGGAAGTCCTGCTGAAGAAGTTCAGGGAAGTCCTGCCGACATTCTGGGAAGAACTGTTGAAGTTCAGCGAAGTCCTGCTGCAGTTCTGGGAAGTCCTGTCGACATTCTGCTAAGTACTGTTGAAGTTTAGGGAAGTCCTGCTGAAGTTCAGGGAAAACCTGTCGACATTCTGGAAAGTACTGCCAAAGTTCAGGGAAGTCCTGCTGAAGCTCGGGGAAGTCCTGCTGAAGTTCTGGGAAGTCCTGTCGACATTCTGGAAAGAATTGTTGAAGTTCAAGGCTGACCTGCTGAAATTGTGGGAAGTCCAGTCGACATTCTGCGAAGTATTTTTGAAGTTCACGGAAGTCCTGTCGACATACTGGGAATTTCTGTTGAAATTTAGGAAAGTCCTGCTGAAGAAGTCCAGGGAAGTCCTGCCGACATTCTGGGAAGTACTGTTGAAGTTCAGGGAAGTTCTGCTGAAATTCCGGGAAGTTCTGTCGACAATCTGCGAACTACTGTTGAAGTTCAGGGTAGTCCTGTCGAGATTCTGGGAGCTACTGTTCAAGTTTAGGGAAGTCCTGCTGAAGTTCGGGAAAGCCCTGTCGACATTCTGGGAAGTACTGATGAAAATCAGGGAAGTTATGTTGACATTCTGGGAAGTACTGTTGAAATCCAGGGAAGTCCTGCTGAAGTACAGGGAAGCCAAGTCGGCATTCTGCGAAGTACTATTGAAGTTCACGGAAGTCCTGTCGACATTCTGGGAAGTACTGTTGAATTTTAGGGAAGTCCTGCTGAAGTTCTGGGAAATCCTGTCGACATAGGGGGAAGTACTACTGTTGTAGTTCAGGTAAGTCCTGCTGATGTTCAGGGAAGTCCTGTCGAAGTTTAGGGAAGACCTGTCAACATTTTGGGAAGACTTGTTAATGTTATGGGAAGTCCTGCTGAAATTCTGGGATTTCCTGTCCACATTTTGGCAATTACTGTTGAAGTTCAGGAAGTTCTGCTGAAGTTCAGGGAAGTCCTGTCGACATTCTGGGAAGAACTGTTGAAGTTCAGGGCATTCCTGCTGAAGCTCTGGGAATTGCTGTCGACATTCTGGGAAGAACATTTGAAGTTCAGAGAAGTTCTGCTGACGTTCAGGTAAGTCCTGTCGAAGCTTAGGGAAGTCCTGTCAAAGTTCAGTGAAGACCTGCCGAAGTTCAGATAAGTTCTGTCGACATTCTGTGAAGTACTGTTGAAGTTCAGGGAAGTCCTGCTGAAGTTCAGGGAAGTCTTGTGGACATTCTGGGAAGTACTGTTGAAGTTCAGGAAGTTCTGCTGCAGTTCTGGGAAGTCCTGTCGACATTCTGGGTAGTACTGTTGAAATTCAGGGAAGTCCTGCTGAAGTTCACGGAAATCCTGTCGACATTCTGGGAAGTACTGTTGAAGTTCAGTGAAGTCCTGTCGACCTTTTAAGAAGTACTGTTTTAGTTCCGGGAAGTCCTGTTGACATACTGGGAAGAACTGTTTAAGTCAGAGAAGTCCTGCTGAAGTAATGGGAAGTCCTGTCGACATTCTGGGAAGTACTGTTCAAGTTCAGGGAAGTCCTGCTGAACTTCTGGGAATTTCTAGGAACTAGGTACTGTTCAAGTTCAAGGAAGTCCTGCTGAGGTTCTGAGAAGTCCTGTCGACATTCTGGGAAATACTTTTCAAGTTAAAGGAACTCCTGTCGACATTCTGGGAAGTACTGTTGAAGTTCATGGAAGTCCTGCTGAAGTTCAGGGAAGTTCTGTCGACATTCTGGGAAGAACTTTTGAAGTTCAGGAAGTCCTGCTGAAGTTCAAAGAAGTTTAGCAGAATTTCAGGGAAGTCCTGCTAATGTTCAGGCAAATTTAGCCGATATTCTCGGAAGTCTCACCGACTTTCATGGAAGCCCTGACTTGGATCAGGGAAGTGCTGTCTCAGTTCAATGAAGTTCTGTTGAAATTCAGAGAAGTCCTGCCGAGCTCCAAAGAATTCTTGCTGAAGTTATGCCTAAGTTCAGGAAAGTCCCGCTCGAGTTCAGTAAGTCCTACTGAAGTTCTGGGAAGTCCAGGATGTGTTCAGGGACATTTTTCTGAAGTTAGGATAGTCCTACCGAAATTCACGAATGTCTTGTCGGGGTTCAGGCAAGTCTATATTCATTAAATTTCTGTTGAACTTCAGGAAAGTCCTGCTGAACTTCATGGAAGTCCTTCTGAAATTCAGAGAAGTCCTTCCGACATTCAAGGTAGTCCGGTCAAAGTTCAGATAAGTTTTGCCGATGTTCAGGAAGTTCTACCAATGTTCAGGAAACTTCTGTCGACATTGGGAGAAGTACTGCCGTCATTAAGAGATATTAGATATTCTACCGAAGTTCAAATGAGTCCTGATGAACTTCAAGGAAGTCTCGCTGATGTTCAGAGAGGTCCTCCGGAACTTGGAGAAATTCCTGTTGAACTTGGGGAAGTCCTGCCTACAATCAGAGAATTATTGTTGAAGTTTAGGGAGGTCCCGCTTATCTTCCCGGAAGTTATGCCGAAGTTTAGGAGAGTCTTGCCGACAGGACGGCATTTTTCGTAAAAAAAATTGATTCCGTTTTTTAATTTCTCGCAAACAATTTCACACATTTTTACCCAATTTTTCCAGTTACAACTAGAATTAATGTGAAAATTTTGGATAAAGTTTAAAAAAAATAACATCAATTGAGTTTAAAGGTTATTAACACCAAATTTACTTTTTGAGGTCAAGAGCATATTACAGCGAAATAATAGTTGATTTTATGAAAATCATAGTAAGTTTGTTTTCATATGTTCCTTTTTGAGCTTTTATACAGTGCTTTTTTGTACATTTCAAAGGCTGCATTGTGGTTTGTTCTTTACTGTTTCAAGGATTTGTAAACCCTTATATACTTTTATAGATACACTTAACTATATTACCGCTCATTATCACCACTCAGAATGCAAAAGTTTGTTGTTGCGAATACGTTGAATTTCGAATTTGGCCATTCTTAGCGATTTTTTTTTTATTTTTTTATTTGAGGGGGATAGAAGGAAAGGGGTGTAAGTGATTTTGATCGATTTTCTTCATCGACTTTCTCTTTCGTTAATAACTCAGATGTAAACACATTCCTTGATGCGTTTGCCGTTCTGGATGCTAGATGAGAACCTCCTTTATCAAACTATCTGGCAGCAATAGTGCGAAATTTGTGTGTAAAGCCATGGTTATCAGAAGAGAAAGTCGATTAAGAGAATCGATCAAAGTCACTTACACCCCTTTCCTTCCAAGCCCCTCATTTGAAATGATGTTGTGAATTGATTTCAAATGTTGTCCAAACAATTGCATAAAAAAGGCTTTACTAGGATAACAGGTTTTAAAAAAAAATGGTCAATGGGAACAAAAGATACAAAAAAATCGAAGTGCGCAGAATTTTCTTTTCTTCTCCTACCTTACCATCCAGCTCCGTGGGATATAAGGGGGCCGCGGTGAGTTGCTGGCAGGGATGTGGAGTCGGATCAAAATTCACCGACTCCGACTCCTCTGATTTGAAAATTACCGACTCCGACTCCTCGACTCCGACTCCGATTCAGACAAAATACAATAAAATTTGCGTCAAAAAAAATTGGTTGATTTAATTTGTATAACAAAGGGGTCATCCATAAATTATGTAAGGGAATAGGGGGGCAGGTAGGTCTTAACATTTCTTACGGTTTCTGGCAACGGGGGAGGGAGAGTTGACATTTTCTTACATACGGTTTAATAAGCGGGAAAAAAAAATTAGACGTTCAACGAGACGTTGTCTTGGACTTAAAGATGATTCCTAGGGGGTTCAAATCATTGGAAGCATAAAATAAATTTCAAAATATAACCGTTCGATTTTGGCACGGTTCGATTTTGGCAACACAAAATTTTCGGGCTTGTTGTCAAAATCGAACGGGTACTGTACCTGGGGTTTCTGCAACTGAAGGGGATTCGCCATACATCGATCAAGAAAGAGCTGCAGGAAAAGTTCTTGTATCGTATCAACCGTGTTCTGAGGTCGTTATACACTATATACGCAATACACTATTTCTTCAGCACTAAGTCTACGTAGAGCCGCCACGCCAAAGGTTATCGCACTGCATGCACTGGTTGCACTTACCCGTACGATTAAAATCGATTCGCACGATGAAAAACAATCAAAACGCGAGACCACCAAAAGCGAAAACTACCGCACTGCCACGGACTGGAATGAAAACTAATTAGAATCGAGCCGAGCCGTCACTCTTCCTTTTTTTGCCTCGCTGGTCGCTGATGCGGAGCACGACTTACGAGCACGAGAGCTTATTCACGCATTTTTCTCTCTTTTCCGCTTCGTTCGAGCAAACTCTCGCGAGAACCAGCAAAAAGTTTCTCATTCAGCCCGACGGCAGCCCGTGAGCCCGATGCTCTTCTTAGTGGGCAAGAACAACACTGAGCAATGTGCTCGTATGTGAAGTGGAAGGTAAATCCCGGTGTGCACGGTTGTGAGTTACTTTCATTCACCCCTGATTTGATGGTCGATGTTTAATCGACTTGGAAGCGAACAGAAAATGTTGAACGTTGACCAACTGTCTGGGCTTTCGATTCGCACCTCAATTGAGTTGAACGGCACATCGAATCATCTAAACCGTGAATTTAATGTAAACATCAGCTTGAGAATGTCAACCCCTCATGCGCTCTCACATACTCTCATTCTCTCTCGTTGAACTAGTAGAGAAGCAGCAACTACACACAGACTAGATGTGTCAGTCGTGTACTGGAAGCGGACCGTGACATAGTTACGATAGGTGGCAGCATTATTTTGTTTGTTGCTTCCTTCATATTGAGTCGGTTCTCGGTGGAGCTCTGTCGCTCTTTGAATTCCTAAAGGTAGTAATTTGCGTTTGTTTTTTTTTTTCGCTGACGATTGCAACCTGTGTTTAATGGTCGGTTCAAGTGCGGTTCGAAGTACTGTGCATGGTTAATAATTAGGGGACTAATTTCCCCCCGGAGAGAATTCAAAGTGTTACTATGTTAATAAACAGGAGTCTAAAAATAGACCTATGCGGTCAAGTGGAATTGAAAAGTGCATTTTGGATATATTCTCGACTGTAGGAAAGGGCAAAAGTGTATGAAAACCTTGTGCGGAAAGGCTTCCATCCAGGGCTGTGGAAACTGTGTTTTTAAATTTTCGGAGAAAACCCTGACACTGGTTTAAGCCAAAAACCTTGTGCGGTTTTGTCTGGCAGTAATAAAAAATATAAATAAAAAGAGTGTTTCTTTGAGAAGTGCGAGAGGAAAAGGGCGAGAGCGAACGAGCCAAACCAATGTCAACGCAAACATCATGCGAAAATATTTAAATGGAAATGAACAAGCAACATTGGCGTGGAAGAGCCAAACAGCATTAGCAGTGGCTTCCCATGTGCTGTCACCAGAAGAGTGTTTTGCCATTTAAATGTTCGTGTGTGCGTGTGAGTGTGTGCCGCTATAATCAGCTTGTGGAGTTGTTTTCCCCTGAACGGAATGGGGGCTATCACCTAGTACTGTAAAGTCGAACGCGAAGATACGTCAATGGGAATGATATTTCGAATAAGGTTACCAACTGGTAGTTTGAGAGATGTTTAATTTGCGAAAAAAAAAAAGTTCAATAGACTAAAAAATGATGTTCTACGATTTTTGCCAATTCTAAAGTTTCAAGCTTTTTAAAAAACAAGTTTAAAATTTTTCAAAATGCACTGTTGTTGAATTGGTAGTAATTAACAGTTTTGACGTAGGACTGCGTCTGTGATTTTTATATGGGGGTACACTTTGTGAAAACCAAAAATGGAACATGTAACAAAATTATGAAAGATTTTCAACGTTAATTACTCAGCTGCGCCTGAACCAATTTCAATAATTTTATCATTAATAGATTAGTTATATTGCTACGTTTCTGTTAATTTTAATATTTTATCATATTTTTTTAATGTCTCCATTAAAAATTGCACGAAAGTGCAATTGTTGCTATGATAATTAAAATAATCACCAACTGCCTGCGAAAAGCGATTTCCCGAACACAGATTTCAAAGTTGAATACTTTCCGGTCTCAAACGGTGTTTATTCAATCATCGGGTGGTGAGTGGTGGTGTTCTCCAGTACACAACGAAAGGCTGCCTGCAAGTAGCGAGCTACAGCCCACATGACCATCCATAGAAGGAGGAAGAAGCCGCATAGCTATTGATCGGAATTAGTAGTTCTTCGTGAGTCGCTGTGGGCCATCTATGTCAAGCGCGTCACATTAAAGAGTATAAACAGAGAGAACCCCGCTCAAATTCCAGTTACCAAATAAGATTTATTATATAAGACCAAGTAGTCCTACGTCACCATTGCGTACAACCACATAGGGTTGTCCCTTGTAGTTTTTTTTCAATTTTTTTACTGGAATTTGTGATTTTTTTTCTGAAAAGATAAGCTTTTTTCATGCTAAGATTTACTGAAAAAACTGTGAATGGGTCAGTTGGAATAATTAAGCTCGAGTCAAAATTCCAGCACAAACTTGGTTCATTGCCCCTAGCGAACAATTGTGTCAAGTTCCATTGGATTCGGAGAGGGTACAGTTTGATTGATTTATCAGTTAGCGATGATTTGCTCTTCTTGATCACCTCAAGTCTTGAAAAACACCTAGAGGACTTTACTGATATCTTATCGCAAATCCATGGAGATGAACTAGAGCTGCACTGAATAGCGCTATTAGGCCTGGTATTCGGTGTTTACATGTGAAATTTTGCTGATATTTGGCAATTTTCTTACAAATGAGTGGCCAACAAAACGATTGAGTGAAATTTTGTTAGCTCTAAGCCTGATATTCGGTCGAATACTATGGTGGCCGGATATTCGGTGCAGCAGCAATATGAACGTATTTCACATTGTTTAAACTTTTACTCAGTTTCATGAATTCCTTGATCTAATTTTATCTTATCTGAAGTTTCCTGAACTTGTGAATTGTTTCACAGATTTCTGGAAAGTCTCCCCATCTTCTATAATGCTCCATGAATTTATACGATTTTTCCACGGCTCATACAAAGTTTAATACACTTTAAGGAAGCTCACTGAATTTCTACCAAGTTTGCTTAAACTGAAGGATTGTCGTGTAACTTATTCCCTGTACATCTACAAATATCCCTAAGCTTCTAGAAATTTTCTCAAGTGCTTCTAAGTTCTCTGAGCTTCTCCAAGTATTATATTTTTTAAGATATCTTTCTTTTTCTTCTTCCCTGAACTTCCAGAATATCTGAGAAGCTGCCTGAAACTAAATAGAATTCCCAATGCTTCCAGAAAAATCGTTGGGTTTTTTTTAAATAAATTCTCTGACAAACTGCTACATTGTTCCCAAAATTGTTTCGAATATCTATGAAATTTGCTGCAATTTTACGACTCTTTTTAAGCTTCTAAAAAATTCCCTGATCTTCTACAAACTTTGCTGAGATTCTTCAAACCACCTTTACGAAGGTCCGTAAATTCTACTCACACAAAAATCGCTGTGCATCTATTACATTTTACAAAGATTCTCGAATTGCTATGCAACGCCTCTATGTTTCTCGTCGATCTTCTGGTAAGTTTCATGAAGTTTCCTGAACTTGCACGGAATTCCATTAACAAATTCAAGTCCATAAAACATCAGCACAGTGCCGTGGAATTAAAAGATGGTGCTTGAACATTTATGAGGTTCTTTCTAATTAAACGGTGTAGGGTCGTTAGGCCGAACTTCATTACAACAAATGGGTCATTAGGTAGAAAGCGATCAGGCCGCAATAAAATAGGCCGCCATCCATTAGGCCAAAAGCCATTAGACCATGGACATGAGCTAATTAGATTAGAGAAACTTTTGATGTAGACTACGTGTTCGGGAAGCAGGGCTGGTAGCAGGTCACTTTTTAGTGACTTGATCACTATTTTGAAGTCAGTCACTAAAAAGTCACTTTTTACACCAAAAAGTCACTAAAGTCACTATTTCCCTAAAAATAGTCACTAAAGTCACTTTTTCACTATTAAAATAGAGTGAAATTTAAAAATATCAACTAAATGTTTAAATTGAGTTCTTGGCACTAAAAAAGTCTACAGTAGTTTTAACAAAATATACATATCTGTTAAAAAATTGAAATTTTTAACCAGAGTGACCAGTGAATCGCAACACTTTAGAATACCAGGAAAGCTAAAATTGGAAAATGCCTTCAATTTCAATTAATAATTTTGGAACATATGCCTCTACTTTCCCAGAAAATAAATTGTAAAACTTGGAAACTTTCCAAAGGTATTTGTCTGTGATAGATTTTCAAAAGCCTTTCAAGGATGATTAAGAACTTTAAAAATCCAAAGTAAATTTTAAGAGAATGTTAAGGGATTCAAGGTATGGCAGCAAGATATATCAGAGAAGAATACCAAAGTACAGACTATGAAAGTCTCATCTAAAATTAAGTGCTCTGAGGACCGATTTCTTCATCTCCGCTTAAATCTTAAGCCCAGTTTACCTATATAGTTTGGTAATAATTCTATTATAATTGAAAGTGAATTTTAACGAGAGTTCTGAGAACAATTCTATGATGATTGCATGAGGATTCTAGGCCCAATTCTAATAAGAATTCAAAATTAATTCTGAAATTTTGCTTAAGGGAGTTTGATGAAAATTCCATGAAAATCCCTTGAACTCCAAAGATCCTCACTGCGGATAGTTCTAAAAGAATTCTGGGGTGATTTCTGAAGAAACTTCCCAGATAATTCTAAAGTGTTCGAAATAAATTCCGAGAAGAATTTCCAATGGAATCGAAATTTGAGGATTCAATTTCAAAGGAATTCTGGGAAGAGTTTCAAAGTTATTCTGTGATGGATTTTTGTTTTGAGATTTCGGAAGAAATGCTATGGGAATTCTAAGGAGAATACGAATTGAATTTCCAATTGAATGCAGGGAAGGAGTCCAAGTTTATTCTAAGCAGAAATCTAAGGAGAATTCAAATAAATTTAAAATTGATTTATGGAAGGAGCCTTCAGGGAGTTCCTAGAAGAATCAATAAAAAATAGAAAATAATCTACCTTAACTATTCATGTGTTATTACTTCATGCGATTTCACGATTTACATAGTCGGAGATGCTTAACGTCAAATATCAAATATCACGCTAACTTGAAAGTACTCATTAATGAGTAAAAAATACCCATTTTGAAGAAAAGTGGCTTAACTCATTAATGATTAATCAATTTTACCCATTAATGAGTATCTGTTACCCATTAATGATTAACAATTACTCATTAATGGGTAACATATACTCATTAATGGGTAAAAAAATTACTCATTTAATGAGTTAAGCCACTTTTCTTCAAAATGGGTATTTTTCAACCATTAAAGGGTACTTTCAAGTTAGCGTGTAGATTGTATAAATAATGCTCGTGGTTAACCGAGTGTTATAAAAAAAAGTATTTGTTCACCAATTTACCGATTACAAAGAACGCGCACTTAAGACTAACCGAATTTTCCTATCGCTAAACCTTTTATTAACTAAAACTACCTGATCAGCACAATCCAATATCGTTCGATCGGTCGTAACGCGTTGTTCGTGTCCACGTTGCTCCTCTGGGTTGTTGCTACGCTGATTCTTCCTAACTCATCAATTCTACGGTGCATCGGTCGTTGTGGTCGATCGATGTGGCGTTGGTCGTCTCGGCGTGGCTACTCTGGCTGTTGCTACGCTGTCCGGGTTGTTGCTGCTGATGATGTTGGTTGATGCAGTACAGTTGGTCAGCCGTATATAACGTATATAATAGATGAGGAGATTAAATTATAGAGTTGATAGCTCCGTTAAGTACGGCAGTGTGAAAATGGTATACACAAAGTAGAAAGCGAGCAAGGACAATTTTGAGG